ACTTTTCATACCCTGTTTCCAGCAGAAATGAGGCTCTTCCTGCGTGCGGGATAAGAAATGTTAAGCAGGAACACGACAAACGGTAGCAACTTGCCTTAGTGCATCCAAAACTATCCATCCTACGACTCTACCGTCCTTGGGAGAGATTCGAGCAATAGAATTCATCTGCGGAGTCAAAAGAAAAGAAAACGATAGAAAAGTGAGAATACGCTGCTTCGAAGTACCTGCCAAACATTCGCCCAGATCTCTCCTTTCACATACTCCAGCTCGTTCAAAAGCTCCACAGCTTCTCCATTGTCCTTAACTGTGATTCTTCTTATCTCTGAAATGCGCGATCAACTCTTCTTGCAAAATCTATCACTGAAAAAACCATCAAACCTGCAAAGTTGTGTGGGTCTAGAAAGTACAAAGTGGAGCTTCCATCGCTTCCTATGATATGCTTGTTGTCGTGCGTCAATCCCCAGCCATCCGTCATGGGATGCTTGAATGTTCCTAGCTGGAAAGAAATGCAAAGTATCGTGATCATATACCTCTGAAACAGTATAAAGTTACGAGACTCAGTGTTTTCTCATCGTAGAGATATCCTTTGTTAGTTTGCCAAATAACCTGTAAAAATCTGCTAGAATTAACAAAACCATCACCGAATCTTAAAAAGAGGTTACTTGTTTTCCCAAAGTGCCAATCCTTCTCCAAAATCCCTGCTTTGCAGACGATAAATCCTTCTAACCTGCACAGACATTGGAACATATATTTTCTGCAAAAAGATAAAAGAAAGAAAACAAACCTCTCCCGTTTGAAGATCAACTTCACGTACTGACGACTGTTAGCACCAAACCCTCGTAAATGAACCAGAACGAACTTTACCAAACTTTCGCGTACCTCTCCATGCAGCCCAGTGGATTCATAGAGTGTATTGTTTCCATGGTACAAAAGCCCCTTTTATCGCAAAAAAAGAAAAATTCTTCTTTGAGCTGGAAATTCAGCAGCGAAATGGATCGATCGAACCTGAGTGAATGCCTTCGCATCGTGCGGATACTCACGGACGATCCGAAATCCCGAATTGATCGGCACCTGGCGAGTGGAAGCCGCCTTCTTTGGCTTCGAGGCGGACGACACCTCGAGCAGCACAACGACGAGCGCAACCACGGCGCCGGCGCTGAAGATCACGCCGCCCAGCGAGAGACGGTGCCGCCTCTTCCCCATTTCTTGGATCATAAGAATCCAAGAACCCTACACCTCTCTCCCAGCCCACATTGCTAGAATCAAAATAGCATATCAAGCCTTGAACAGAGATAGGTCAGTTTTAGGTATATTCTTTTATTCAAACTTTGAATTCGATACACCTGGACACGTGGACGGTGCGGATGACGCGCCTACGAGTGGGCGCCAATTGGTTGCCGCGCAATGGCATATTCCCCCGTTCTCAAATTTTGATAGGCTGATTGGTCGAAGAAGTCGGCTTTGGCGGATCGATTTCAAGCTTTGTTCCGCGATGTCGAATCCAGGCAACATGACTTACGACGAGTCGGATCATCCCAGAATGGGGAATGTCCGGAGCTCATCTGCAAAGGATGAGATTCTCATCAAACCGAAGCTGGGAGCGGTACCTCTATCTTGCGTCAAGTTTCTTCATTGTCTTTGCTCATGTCAGTCCTCGTTCCAGGGAAAACGATCCACCAGAAATCTTCCCAGCGACAACTTCATCTATGGAGTGCTCAACGAGTATTCTCCTACAGTGAAAGAACGTAAGTTAGTCCAGGCCTGTTCGATCACTCGATGAAGGAAACACTAACTCGGTGTTGGTTCCTCGCAGTGATGGTCTTCCGAGAGAACGTCCCTGACCCAAGCGCTGCCAAAGGCACTGATCTGCGAGCTATGAACAAGAAGGCTCCCAAAATGTAAGATCCAACACTCCAAAACTCAAACTTTACTTCTTTTCGTCACTTTCTTCTCTCAGGAAAGTCACACGGGCAGACGAACAGAGAATGTACCGAAGAGAGCATCCAATCAAGCTCAAAGTCAAGCAGAGACTGGTAAACTTTACCTCGAATTGCTAGTTCCACCATGACAACTTTGCTTTGTACCAGGCAAACGTTGCTCCACTTCCATCGGTAGTAAATCCAGACCACGTCTACGGCACACCGCTCGAAAGGTTTGAACCAAAGTGGTGTCTTCGTCAATCTTTGCTTAATATGATCGTGTTCTTCTTTTCCTGAAACAGGGGCGACAGCATGGATGAAGTCATTCGCTATGCTTATGGATACGATTTCATCAGGATGAATACCCAACACCATCACGACTTCCAAGTTATCAGGCCAGTCTTTGTCCCTGTCAAGAACAACAAGACCACCGACATGAGAATAATACGCTGGTTCTACTGGAGGAACCCGCCGAGGCCTAAGCAAAGATTTGTCATTTCCAAGTTCAAAAATGTACCTCACAAGATCAACAACTTACAGAAGATACCACTGCTCAGGGACGAAAGGCCTCCTGTCTTTCCAAAGAGAAAGATCAACAAGAAGCAGCAAGAAGAAGAAGAACCTGGTGGTCACATCCCTTGCGTCAATATGGGTTGTAACACTTGTGCAAAATCTGGTGCCTGATTATCAGGACACCGTTGTCTTCGACCTAAGGTGCCAGCCTATTAGGATCACGAGGAAACAAAGAGGCCTTCCTTATGTTGTCCAGATTGCAGAAGAGCATCGCTACTCGTTCCAAGCCGACGCCAATGCCTCCGTGAGGTGGTGCACCATAGCTGCCAGTAACAGGAAATTTGTCACACAAAAAGTTTAATGTTTTCGCTATTCACCTGAAAGAATTTATGTAGTTCTGCAAGCCAATAGCGTTTGGATCAATGTTGCACTCCTCGATCCGCTTTAGAAGAAGATCCTTGTCATGAACACGCTGGGCACCGGAGATGATTTCCTCGCCTACAAAAGACAATCAGAACAAACAAATAACGACAGGAAACAACGATGACTAACCCCGAATGAAAACGTCGAATGAGTTTGAATATTTAGGATCGTCGACAGCAGGCATGGTATAGAATGGCCGGACAGCAAGTGGATATCGATGCAGAATATAAAAATCAGTCTTGTATCTGTGAAGAAGAATCAATCGTAAGAGCATGAGAGGGGTTAAACAAACTACTCACCTCTCCTTCACAAGAAGTCCCAGTCTCCTCTCAGTTTCTGTGTCAAGGTCTCCAAGAGGATCAGTCTCAAACCCAGCTTCCTGTTATCACGCGTCAGGTCTTGCAAAAATCAATGATAGAAACAATCACCTTTAACATCTGAATCCCCTCGGCAAATGCGAGTACCAGGGTTTCGTCAAGATACTGAAAGAAGTACACAGTTGAAACAATTTATACTGAATTTACAAGTAATCAAACCTGCAATGGCTCAAAAGGATACTGGCTGTTGATCGTTTCAAGCTCTTTCTTGCAGTTTTTGTTAAGCTCGTTGAACACATAGATGAAGAGTTTGCCAATCAGGTCGATGATCTGCAAGTGGAAAAGTTACCCATCGTCTAGTTCAAATAAACTCTACCTCGAAATAGTGTTCCTTGATCTCCATTTCAAAATCGAGTCCGATAAATTCACACAGGTGCCGATGAGTAAAAGATTTTTCGGCTCTGAAAACAGGACCTATCTCGAAAACTCGACGGAAGTCACCACAAATTGCCATCTGTTTGTGCAGCTGCGGTGATTGAGCCAGACATGCAGGTTGATCATTTGCGTACTGCAGCTTGAACACTGCAGAGCCACCTTCGCTAGCACCAGCGATAAGCTTTGGCGTGTGGATCTGGCGAAACTTGTTAGCCCGTAGAAAGTCGTGAAAGAGCTGAAAAAAACCATAACAAGCTTCTCAGCGCCACAATTCGTCACAAAACGAACAAAGCACATACGCTTGAGATTTCCGACTGAACGGTAAAGATCGCTTGATTGGCAGGGATTCTAAGATCAAGGACCCTGTTATTCAGCCTCGTGTCTTGTAGAACGCGTGCATATTGAATGCCTTCCTGAAGAGAAACAAATCAAACTAACCCACGCAATAGAAAAGAGACTCGACTCACCTTTGCAGCTTTCTCAATATCCTGGTCACTGCGAGCGGCATCTTCCAACAGAAGAGGGAGCTCGTTGGTCGACTTGGATATACAATGGAGTTCTGTCACCTGGATTTCCACCTGTGAAGAACAAAGCACGAACACGATGAAGATGACTTCACGACAAAAGAAAAGGACTTACCGGTTGTGTCGTCCCGGACACTGGATTTCTTGGATTTGACACATTTCCCGTCACGTCCACAACGGACTCTTTGCTCAGCAAGCTCGCATACTTTACAAACTGTTTGCTCCCAACGTTCTCCATAGAAACCACGCATTGCACGGTATGGATAGTCTCACGAAGCACCAGAAATGCCATCTTCCCTTTCGCTCTCTTGCTGTGAACTCTCCCACGAACCAGCACAGTAGAGCCCTCCAGATCGGTCCCAAGCTCCGAAATCTCGGTCCACTTCCGCCCAGTCACAGCCTTGGATTGCAAATCCTCCAGCTTCGTATCCCCGTACTTGTCCGCCAGTGGATCAATTTCTTCCTCCTCCGCGGCAGCCGCGGCGAGCGCAGCAGCCTGGCGGAGCTCCTTCTCGGCTTTCTTCGCGGCCTTCTGTGCGGCTTTCTTGCTCATACCTGGCGATGCTTCCACCGCCGAAGCCGATGCCTCCGCCCCAGCTGCTGATTCCTCTCCTCGCGGCATCACGCTGTAAAAACGCCGACGATCGATCCTCAAGCCTAAAACCCTAGCGCTGGAAATATGCCTCAACCACGAAACACTACCCATGAAGAACCCTAATAACGTAAAACCGTGACCGTCAGATGGCCCGGCAAATTTGACGGTGGGGATTGAAACCATGATTTTTACAAGCTCGTCACTTTGATTGATTTGCTGGAGGACTTGAAGGTATCTCTGGAAGCGCTGGGCGATTTAAAAACGTTTCCAGTTTGGCGAGTTTGTCATCGATCGAATCGAGCCTGCCTTTGAGAGATTTGAGCTCTTCGACGTCTAATCCCGCGCGCCTCACTGTTCGTTTGGCTTGGTACTCCTTTTGCAATCGATCGATCTCGTATCTATTCGCCCATGTCTTCTTTGGCAGTGGCTCAATCCCTCTCTCCTGGAAAAGAGAAAAAAACGGTTAGAGAAAGCTCTCCAAGTTCCATCCTTACCTTCTCCAATCTTCGAATCTCTCGACGCGCGTACATTGCCACCATGTAGATCACTGCTCCAGACAAGAGAATCAAAATGCTCAGCCACAAAGAAAAATCGAGCTAGAACTTTGGTCGCTTACGAGAAACCGGGACGACGACGCATACGAAGAACTGCCACAAGTGCCAATCAAGCCTGGAAGAAAGAGGAAGACACTTATTTCAAAGAGGACTCTAGCAACATACCCGAGCTCCTTGGGATTTGGATTCTTAGATTCCCCAAATGCGACCCTGGTAGCGATCTCGAAATCCATCCTACCTTCATAGATGGCCTTGAGATCCGCCGCGCGCTGCTTGGCGCGCCTCGTCTCCTCACTGTCGATCACGGCGGGAGGAGGCGGAGATGGAGGCGGAGGCGGAGGCGATCCATCGGCGGGATCCACAATTTGAGGAGGTGGCGCGCTCAGCCGTCGGCACTGCTGGAGCAGCGCTCTCGACCGCGACCTAGCTCCAATCCATGCCCGGAGCATAAGCCCTATAAACCCTAAAGTGGTAAAAAATTCAAAAGTCTTAGGGGGGTTTCGCACCCACCATTAAATTAGTAAATTTAATGGTAATTCGTTCACACCACCACACTATTATATTAGATTTTGTAAACTCTAATTTAATAGATAATTTAATGGTAACTTGTTCACACCAGAAATAAACATTAAAGTAAGCTAATGTTACAATTAGCATTTCTTTCACATTTTTCGCTAAAATCCTAATGCTACACTTTTGTAGCATTAGGATTAAATTATTCCACGAATATTCTATAGGGCAATGTTAGATCCGTGCTGCTGCTGCTTCTTCATGTGCACAACTCTCCAAACGCCACCTCTTCCTCCTCCCTTGGTTGCTTCCATGACACACCCATTCCGCTGCCCCCACTGGAGAAGCCCACTGGGCTTGTTGGGGCTCTTGCACTTGTGCCCAACACCACATTCCAGAGCACTTGCCTCCCCGTTGCTTTGCTCCGCCATGCCACTCGACGCCATTACCGCCGCCAGGCTGGGGGACGAGGCCATTGCCGCCGCTGTGGAAGCTCCTCCTATCGTTGTCATTGCTGCCGCCTCCTCCACTGCCACTTTTTGAGGAGGGAGTGGGGAGATGGAGGAGCTAGTGCAAAGAGGGTGAGGGAGATTGATGGGGGTGGCTGGTGCCAAGATCTTCGTGATTGTTGTCGCCTTTTGCACTGCTGCATGTTATAAGGTATAACTTAATAGCTGGTGTGAACAGAGCATCATTAAATTAACTAATTTAATGGGAGTGTGAACCAGTTAACATTATCCAAAGTTTTTATCACCCAAAATGACTAATAACTACTAATGCTATTATTAACTAATATTGGTGTGAAAAGAATAACATTAAAATTTTAAATTAGGCTAAAATCCTCTGATGTAAAAGCCCTAAATTAATGGTGGGTGCGAAAACCCCCTAATTTTATTGCAAAAAAAAGTAAAAAAGTTAACGTTCACCCTAACTAATTGGGTTTCTAAAGGACATACTCATGATGGAAAGAGGTGGTAGAGCTATAGCACATGTAGAGAATTCTGAGATCCCAAGAAGGAATTGAAAAATAAGAGTGGGAAGTAATAGAGAACTTGGTTAAATTGAGCCTCACCCCACCCTTCAGGGATTTTGTGTTTAATAATGTTTCTTGGAGTGTGCTCTAGAGTAAAGAGTGTTTTGTTGCTTACAACTTAAATTAGAGTGTGCTCACATTAGTTTTGTGGATGTGGGATTTTTTATTTGAACAACAATTATGTTTATTTTAATATCCCAAGTACCTTAGAGTGAGCATGTTTGGAGATTTTATGTTGGCATATACAATGTGCTATAATGTTAGGTCATAAAACTCATGCTCTCTTACATCAATACACCTTCCATAAAGCTACCATTAATAAGCATAAAACAACTAGGCTATGTTAGCAAGAGACCAAAGAAGCATTGCTAGGCTGATATGTTAAATATTCTATGTCATGTGGTTTAAGTTTGTTCATTACACCTTTCTTAATATTATAAAGATTGTTTGACAATTCTTGCATGTGGGGAAAGAATTAACTTCTAAAATATGAGTTTCTTTTGTTAATCTTTAACTTAATACTATTGCAACACTTTTCTGAAGAGTTGAATGCAAAAAGATGGTTGGTGGTGGATTTAATTCATGACCAAGTGAATCTTTTGTAAAATCTAAGAAGCAAAGTTTGGCTGTTATTGCTGAGAAAGAAAAGAAGTATGCCCAAGGAAAATACTATTAATAATATCTCAAGCCAATGCCAAAGGAAAAGATGCTTAAGAGGGTGGTGCAAATATGTTTGGAGTTTAAGAGTAAGGAGGACATACCCAAAATCAAGAAAATGAGAAGGAGCAATTTTTCCTTGGATGAGAGATTTCACAGGAGGATCACAATTGGCACATATCAAGGCTTAAATGGTGAGGTGGTGGCGACAAATCTTTCTACATTTTTTTGCTAAGGAAAATCTTCTTTTGGACGTATTTTCACTATTCTCTAGATGAGCTCAAGATTAGCATGACACCTTAAATATGTCAAAAGTTCATTTTAGTCGTGTTATTGAATCTTGATGGAATGGTCCCTCTCATACAAAATCTAAAAATGTTAGTTTCCCACAGTTTGGTTAAGAATTTTTATGACTCCTACCACAAAATGATATGACAAATCCTAGAAGCGAGGAAGAGTGAAGTGGCTACTATCCAAAGTCTATATGTGTTAGTTTTGGAGTTACAAAAAGTACTGCACAAGCCAATATCAATGCAAAAGAAGAAAAAATGTTTTGGGTGTATTCTGAGGCAATGATAAAGGGACCATACAAAGTTATAGGCTAAAAAGAAGGACATAACCAAAATTTAATCCTTAAAGATAAAGAACGGCATTAAATTGCTAGACACTACTCATATGTTTTCCTTAAGGAAGATATTATAGAGACATCTAGGTTGTATTAGGACTATAGGAAGCAGGAAAAAAAATGAGAGAAGTAAGAAAAGTGGCAAAGAAAGAGAGTGAAGAAAAAAACAAAGAAAAGAAAAGTGAGAGAAAAAAAGAGTTAAAAAACACATGGCAACCCTTGACATATGGCACAAAATTAACTATGAAAGTGATTGCCCATCAGAATTAAGTAACCAAACTAGTTGGCATAAATACTTTAGTGTATGCATGGGAAAATTCTTGGTGGATTCTAAGTTCTTGTGGGTGATAATTTGGGGAAAGGGAAAGGGTGTTCAGCCTTAAAAGAATCTGAAGATAAGCTTTTGGGCATTAAGTGTTAATGAAGAGATTTATGTGCCAAAATCTTATAACAGCAAGAAGCATTAAAAACCAAAGAGGAAGAGTTACCATTAAATGACCTTGAAGTCAGTAAAGAAAGTTTGAAAGGAAATTCTGATCCAAGATCTTGAAGTAGAGGGCAAACCTACACCCAAGAAGGTGAGGGAAGAATTATTATATGTAACCTAGAGGAGGAGAATTTGACATGAAGAAACAAACAAACTATTATATCCATAGAGGCTCATTAATGAAATTGACCTCCTTCAACCTTAATGGTTTTTGAATTGGGGCTTAGGTGGTGATCTTATTGATTCCACAATACTTTAGGTAATAGATCTTCATATGTGAAAGATTATGATTTTGTAGGGGCTATTGGCAAAATATAAAATCTTTTGTGAGAAAGCAATTTGCTTATATCCCACATGGGGATTAAATTTGAAACTAGGCTATAGATTGTGGAGTTGATGATCATATCAACCCTACTCACGAAAAGTATGCCACTTACTTTTGGGGATGGACAAAAAGTCAAGGTTGGGGAAATCTTTAGGTGTTAGGAGATTTTTGTAGTAGATTTATATAATAACTATGAAAGCCTTGAGATGAAAAAGTTATATAAAGTAGTGGCTATCTTTATAAAAGAATGCTTATGGAAGATTTGTAATAAGGATTCCTTTAACTATCCAGTTTTACTACTGGGAATGCATTAAGATATCTCACAGTAGGTATAAGGGGAGATTGTTGAGTTGCGATGAGTGGTTTTCCCAATTATGGAGGAATATAGGACATTCTAGGATTTTAACACATGAGGCAATTATCTAGAAGCTAGTGAAAATTAGAATTTAACAAATCCAAGAGGAGTACAAATTGCAAGTGTGAGGAATAGATAAACACTGGCCTTTGACATGGATATATAGAACCTGGATGCTAGCAAAAACATCTCATGCAAAGATGAGGCACTAAGAAGATGCTAGCTCCAAGTTACTTATAGAGTATGGGTGGCTAAAAAATTGTCTTGACCAGGTAGAGGCTTGTGATGAAGCTTGCTTACATGCATGCATTAGTGAGTTGGACTAGTCAGCAGTTCAAGCAAGGGAATCTCAAAAGGCTAAGTAGGCAAGTGATGCCCAGATTGAGAAGATATTCATAGCAAAGCACTAAACTAAGCTGTTAGTGAAGGAAACCTAGGAGTTTGAGAGGCAAATGTTAGAGATAAAGATGCTTCTCAAGGTATCTAGGCAAAAATCAAATATAATAGGAGGTAGAGAGTAGCTAAGAATAAATGTTGTCATCAATGATGAAGATGCTTAGGGGAGGCTTCTAAAAGGGCATGAAAGGCACCAAGAAGGCATTACTTAATGTATATATTTTTTTTGTTTTTTAGGTTGTGACACAAGTTAAGGAGCTCAAAGCTTCATCAAATGATAAAAGGCTAAGTGGTAAAGATGTTGATGAAGAATCCATGAGTGAGGGAAGTTAGATAAGTTTTATATAGTGCTTACTGAGGGGCCAAAGGTATGGCTATAAAGATAGAGCATGTAGTAGTGGGGAACTTAATAAGGGATTATGTCCAAGTTGTAAAAACTCGATATGCAATTCTAAAAGAAAATCATTCAGAGGTAGTTTTCTATGAACTAATGCCTGTGGTTCATGAGGCTAAAGATGGAGATTCATTTTAACATATGTATTTATAAAAATTATATTTTCCTGAAATTTTTTCTATTTATATATTCCCTAAACAGGAGATAAGTAATTATTATTGATCAAAACTTTAAAGAATCATACTATAGTAGTAGTTGATTCTTAAAAAAATTAATAATCTTATATTTTATTATTATTTCTAATAATGTATCTATATATAAGGATCAATATATAACAAAAAATCTTTATAGAAAAAAATATATTGAAAGCTTTTTGGAGTGAAAGATTAAATCTATGGAAATGGAATACAAAAATGTGCATATCAATTAGCCCAAAAACCATATGAACAAATGGTTTGAATTGAAATTAATCCAACAGGGGTAAATACCTCTACTCATATATAAGAAAAATAGACCTTATATAGTCCATATATTACACTACTAATTAGCATATTTATCTATCTATCTATCTATCTATATATATAGACTTCTTCAATAAGATGAAAAGGCCTAATTAAAGTAAATTTGATAAAACATTTGAAACTTTTACTGAGCTATTGCACACTACTGTAAAA